CTTCTGGTTTTCCTTAACCACCAAAACACATTCAAGTAGGTGGTCCACTGGTCATGAGATGAAACAAATTAAAATTAAAATTTCCGTTCTTTTACTTACCATGGAAGCTGGAAACAAAATTGAATAATTGGACTGTTTGAGTGCAATTCTTTTAACAGATGGAAACCTAAAATATCTTTCATTTCAATTTCACCTTATCTAATCTCCCTTTCATTGTTTCATTTTGTAGTTTTGTTCCAGTGGTTATATCTAAAAACTGTAGAAATTTTGAAGTTAATTGGTTAATTATAAATATGTTATATTGTTTTATCTAGTTATTAGTTTTTAATGAATTATGAAAATAGATTCTCGCAAAAATGTTTTCTTGATGTGTTTGATTGATAAGTATCCAAATTTATGTTATATTATACATGAAATAAGCCTCATCATCCGAGTGTTTTCATAATCCCTACTAATTCTTGCAGCACTTTCGGAAATGATCTTGAACCCACAAGTAACTGGCTAGAAGTGATTTTCAGCATATGCATCGTACTCAGTGGATTACTGCTTTTCACATTATTGATTGGTAACATCCAGGTATGCTAAACAAGTAAATATGAAAAGATGCTGGTTATTGCTACACCTGCTAAAAAACTGTTCCATACTCAACATGGTCTAACAAATGGGATCATTCCTACGGTGTAGGTATTCTTGCATGCAGTCATGGCAAAGAAGAGAAAGATGCAACTGAGATGTCGTGACATGGAATGGTGGATGAGGAGGAGGCAGTTGCCATCGCGATTAAGACAAAGAGTTCGCCATTTTGAACGTCAGAGATGGGCTGCCATGGGAGGAGAAGATGAGATGGAAATGATCAAAGACTTGCCCGAGGGACTGAGGAGGGACATCAAGCGCCATCTTTGCCTTGACCTCATTAGAAAGGTAAGTAATGTTCAATCCTGCAAATTACAGAAGTTGGCTAGTTAAATACCTCAATAAGTTGGCTAGTATCATTGGATGTTAGATAAAGAAAAACAAATGAAAGAAGATTGTATGTAAAAAATTAGTTAACTCAATATTTGTCGTTAATAATGTTGTCTAAAGATCACAACATCAGAACTCTAAGATGTTGTTTGACTACATCAGAAATCATAACTGAACAGAACTCCTCTAAATCTCTTCCCCAAAGAGAAATTAGTTCCTTGTGCATGTCACAAACACGCGAGTCTCTATGTTCTCAAGAGAGGCCAATCCACAGTTACGGATTTTTCTCAATAAACCTGCATACCACATAGAGCATTCACCTACCATGTAAAGAGAAATGTTAAGAAAATACTATCTCACACACCTCTTTTATTAGTTGAAATTTGTTAGAATCACAAATTCTAATGATTCTTGCATTCTTTTTAACGAAACTCTTGTGATTTTTGTATTTTTCAATAAATTTTTACCAATAAAAAAAATGTATTACTAGCATTTATCTAAAGTAAAAATCCACAAATTGTGGACCTGTTTGCATACCATGTACCCGGTACTTTGTGATGTGCTTATAACAATACTCATTTGCTTGTGGCAATTAAATCAACCTCTCCTAATGAGTAGTTATTTCTGTTTGACAGGTTCCTCTATTCCACAACTTGGATGATCTTATTCTTGACAACATCTGTGACAGGGTGAGGCCCTTAGTCTTCTCCAAAGATGAAAAGGTAATAAACTATCAATCATGTACACAATTGACACCATTTGAGACCAAATTTTCTTCCAAGCATTCCATGTTGAAGAAGACCATAATGTTGTCATGCCCTTGTGGAACAGATAATCAGAGAAGGTGATCCTGTGCCAAGGATGGTGTTCATCGTCCGAGGACGCATAAAACGCAACCAAAGTCTGAGCAAAGGCATGGTGGCCTCAAGCGTCCTTGAGCCAGGGGGGTTCTTGGGCGATGAGCTACTCTCCTGGTGCCTTCGCCGGCCATTTATCGACCGGCTTCCAGCCTCCTCAGCCACATTCATATGCCTTGAATCAGCAGAAGCCTTTGGCCTTGATGCTGACAACTTGAGGTACATCACTGATCACTTCAGGTACAAGTTTGCCAATGAGAGGCTGAAGAGAACAGCAAGATATTACTCATCCAATTGGAGAACATGGGCTGCTGTCAACATTCAATTTGCTTGGAGACGTTACAGGCAGAGGACTAGAGGTCCAGTGACCCCTGTAAGGGACAGTGGAGGCACTGAGCGCAGGCTATTGCAATATGCTGCAATGTTCATGTCAATAAGGCCACATGACCATCTTGAATGAAACCTGGTTTCCATGTTTTTTCTAATTGTTGCTGGCTTGGCTCCAGATCCTCAATAAAAACTACTCTGCCTCAACTCCATTAGGCCTTTTGAAGTTGCCGTGGAAGTCATGCAATTATTCATGAAATGTATAAAAGAAAACTAGAAAGGGAGTACGAGCAATTGCAAATTTGAAACAGTCACTTTTATTTTTTTACAAGAATTTCAATTCAGTAAACTATAAGATCGACTAATTATTTAAATTCATAATACAAATTAAATTTAGATCACGTCATATTTATATTATTTTTGGTGTACAATGAGTAGTAATGGGTTTTAAACATAAGATTTCTTGGAAACTAATTTTCCGTAATTAAGCCGATTGTAGTAAGTTTATATCATATCATATCATATTGCAATTTAAATATTAAACATTGAACACAAATAACACTTTTACGAATTTAATTAGAATGTATTAACATGGTAATAAAAAAAATTTTACGGTCATTTAACCATTATTGTATACCGTAAGTTTATTGACTTTCAATTTTAAAATTATATTTGGATATATTTCTTATAAACCGTAAAAATCTTTACACTAATCATCCAAGAAAATTATGGGGGTCTATTGATTTAAGATTTTATAAGATTTTAAAAGACTTTTTTTTTTGAGTAAAAAAGTTCATTGGTATTCAATCAGGATTTTATGTCACTTAAAAATAATTTAGTAGTATTCAATCTGGATTTTCAAGATTTTTTAAAGAGTCCATTAAAATTTATTAATATTCATTTGAGATTTTTTACAACTTAAAAATAATTCATTGATATTCAAAAATATAAAGATTTTCAAGGATTATTATGTTAAAGGGATTTTAAAGGACTTTCTAGTGCTATTTATAAATACAAAATTCATAAAACAATCCCATCCAAACCCATCAGATTTTGGAGGATTGTTTGAAGTGACTTTTCAAGTGCTTCGAGAATTTCCAAGTGAATTTTTCATCTTTTTTTTTTCTATGCTTTTGTCTTCTCCATTTTTTCTCTGCTAATAATACTGCACTACTGTTTATTGCTCATATATAATACTATAGTATTATTCTCATTTCATTCCTCTATTTTGTGAAACTCCGGTATGTAAATGATCATTGACTTGCTCTATTTTTCTCTTCGTTCTCTTTAATTGACTTGCTCTATTTTATTCTATTTAGTTTAATTTTTTCCTTTATATAACACAAAAAAACGCTTGAAATTTCAACTTTTAAGTGATAATTTTTTTATAACACACGTCAAGAAAATGGAAAGATGAAAGATGAAATTGATATCATGGTCTCTACAATATATATATATATAAGATAAATTTGAGTTAGGTTTCTGTGAGTAAAATGAGATGAAAATGGATCTTAGTTGGGGAAAAAATCCTCTCAACATAAAAACTGCGATCTCTCTCATTCTCTTGAGTTTGTTACTCTTATCTCTCCTCCTTTTATGACTCAACAATTATTTTATTTTTTTTACTATGATTTTTTTTTAATTTTTATATTGTGAAATTAGAATTTTTTTATATTTAAAAAAAAGAAAATTAACATAAGACATTGCAGTATCTAATTTTTTAGGGTTTAGGATTTATGCCTCCGTTAACTTATTTAAAAAAAAGGAAATATTGTTAAAATATTTGTTAGAATAATTTATATTTATAAATATTGTTAAAAAATTATCTATATATATATAAATATTTTCTCTGCATCTAAATACTTCTGTTTATATAAAATTTGTTATATATATAAATATTTTCTCAGTATCAAATATACTGATTTTTTAATATAAAAAATTATCTTATGTTTCTATATTTTCATTTTTACATGTTTTTTTATAATGACCAGGGTATTTGATCTTTCATCTTCAACATTACTGGTTAATGAAGATTATACTTTTGAACTTATTATTCAAACTCAAGAGCAAGAGCGAGAAGACGTTAATACTTAGAGCATCTGCAATGGGGATTGCTTATAAGCAACCCCCATTGGAGATGCTCTTAGAGAACTAGTATAACTATGGATATGTGAGTAGATGTTATTTAAGAAAATATGATATTATGGAGAATTATTATTATTATTATTATTTATCTAGACATTGTTGTTTTTTATTATTTTTTGTCTTTGACTCTTTTTAAATTTGAATGTATGAAATTTTTTTTGAAATCTTATCGTATGTCAAAAATCCACGAAAATTCTACAAAATCCACAAACTCCCGTAAAATTCATTAAAATCCTGATTTTTAAAAGTCTCGCAGAATTCATAAAAATCTTGATTTAAAGTCTTGCAGAATCTTACAAAGTCTTAAAAGTCATGAAAATTTTGCAAAGTCTTTTAAAATCTACAGGATTTTTTTTAACTAAAAAAATCTTTTAAAATCCTAATTCAATATACCCTCCTAAAACTCCTGTTTCAATACACATCACATGACCAATAAGACATTTTTTATTTTTTGAGATCTAGCGACAAGACCTTAATCTATCAAAATTTAACATTTTTGGATCTAATAAAAATCAGGAGAAAGTGATGCACTACAAAATAAATTTTACGAATAAAAGATTAGTTTCTTTTTTTGTGTGTGTGTAAAATGTAGGTAGCAGTGAATGCAAAGGAAGAAGGGTGTGTGATTTGCCTTTGTGAAAGGCAACATAATATAAATACAAATGGGGAAGAACAGAAACAGGGCAAAACAGAACAAAACAGAGCGTTTCCTATGTTTTCGGTTATGTTGTGTCAAAATTTGGAGACATCGAGACGAAGTGAGGTCATCATTACCTCCAAATATGGAAAACTGCCAATCCCATTCCCAAAATTTTCTCACTTTTGTTACCAACGTAACCCATCACAACATGGGTCATGGAGGTTCCCATCATTTCATCCTCCATCTGGCTTCCCTAGGGTCTCCTAATTTCCTCTGGAGCCCTAGATTTTGCTGGTTTATCCTCCTTCGATTTCAGAGCCCTCATCTGCAGCTACATGTTCAGCTTAATTATTTTTTGGGTATACCAATATTCAGCTTAATTAAGTACTGCCTTTGATCATACCCCCTCTTTATGTCTTATATTTTTCTTCTTCTTTGTTTTGTAACGGGGATATAAAGAGTTACGTATTTGTTGATTGCAGTAATATAGGAAGGCAAATATGTGCCCACATTTTCTTTTTAAATCTTAGAACAAAAAATGTGCAAAATTTGATCACTTTCTACCGAACCATTTGATCATCTTCTAATAAATGGATCATAAATGCAATTTACGGTGATATCTTGATTTTTTTTTTTTTACTAAAAAAAACACTTTGTTGAAGGTTATAAAATCTTATTTATGGTTTCAAATTGTGCTTTTTGATTGGCAACATTGTGGGAAACTGCTGACAAATGTGGCCACTTTGTTGAGACTTCAAAAAGCACTATATCAATTGTGATCGGGGACTATATTTTAAAACTAGTAACAAACCGATGTTGCTTGAAACCTATGGTTTCCCTTAAATGATTAATATAAAGGTATAAAATGTTATTTGAATCGTATTTAATCATTATAACAACATGAAAAAGGAACCAACAAAGTGAATGATTGTAATGCTTCCTGGTTGTTTTTTCAGAGTTAGATGAGAATGATATTTATTTTCTGAGTTAGTGATTGGATTGGATTTGATTAGCCAAAATGGATGTAGCAGTTGCTTCTCTGTCAATGCTATGGGTTCATTGCACTCCTTCATGAATACTTTTACAAAAGTACATCCTGCAATAGAGTAGAATATACTATAAAGTTTGATGAATGAAATGATTAATGATACGACTTTCAATATGTCAAACTTCTCAATATTTTTGTTTTATGGTTGTCTTCCTCAACAACTAGGCTTTAGAAATTAGGCTCCTTCAAATTGAATTTCTTCTCCCTTAAATGTTTCTGCACCACAACTTCAATGGTTCTAGCAATCTCAAACTCTAACTCAATAGTTTTATTTCTTGATGACATTCTCTCACTTCACCTTTAGCACTCTATATTTTACAAACTTATTATTTTTGTCATAGGTACCATCTCAGTAGTGTGGAACCTGGCCCATCAATCTAATGGGGTTGAAATATACAAAGCAGGGAACACCAAAACTTGAGAGCTCGAGCATACATCATCAAATGATCAATTACCTTACCAAGAATTTTATTCGTAACTTGGTATCCAAGCAACGTAGAAGAATGCTTATAGCTGGTTATGATCTTGACATGTCATATATCACAGATCGAGTATTAGCAATGTCATTTCCTGCACAACGTATGCGAGCAGTGTATCGAAATCCTCTATGGCAGGTCAAGTCTGTGTTGGACATGAGACATAATGAACATTATAAGGTGCACCTTCAACCAATGGCCATGAATAATGCATATTATCTTCTTGTCTGTCTTCAATGTGTTGGGAGTTCATCATTGTTATCCATACTTGTGTAGTTTTTCTCTAATGAGTATGTCTATTGAACTGTTGTTCATGGCTATTTTTTGGTTATCAGTGATTGAATATTTTGTTCTTTAAATCCAGAAATTTTGTTCCGTTTGTCTTTGTTATTTAATCTAGTATAGTGCATGACAGTGGTTAATGTCTTGTACCATTCTTTCAAATGGCACTAATGCCTTACTTTTTTGATGAAAAAGACTAGTATTATGTCAATTACTTGTGTACTTAACCACTAAGGTGAGCCTAATAATGAAGGGTTGAAGTAATATATACAGGATCCTAGGTTTGAAGCTTGTCACCGTCATTGTAATTTCTTTGGATTAAAAAAATTACTTGTTACTTAGAGGACACTTGTGGGTTATTATGATTTTAGTTTGCCATTCCTTGCTACTGGTATTCAGTTTTCTTCAGCTGTATGATGTAACTTACTTCTTCATTAAAGTGGATGACGCTATTATTACCTAATTTTGCGTTTTTGAAATTACCTAATCTTGACTCTATTGTCAAGATTGTTTTCTTGTTTGATCTTCTGACTATATAACAATGTTAAGAAATGACAATTATAGTGGCTGTTGTTTCTACCTGTTATCGATCGCACTATATATCACAGGAGTTATTATAGCTAAGGCATATCACTTCTAAAATTTTCAGATCTATAATCTCTGTATAGAAGAAAATTATGATCCAGCTCTCTTCTATGGACGCGTGGAAGCATACCCCTTTGATGATAACCATGTTCCATCTCTTGAAATGATCAAAGATTTCTGTGAAAGTGTGGAGTCATGGCTGGCAAGTGACCCAAAAAACATTGCTGTTATCCATTGCATGGTATGAGCGATCACACTTCCTATTAGGATCTTAAGCAAATTTCAAATAAGTGTTTAGAATTTATCATATTAATTTTTGGGGATATAAGTAACCCAAAAATTATCTTCAGGATGATTGCCTGACATCATATAGATGGGTTTTATAGTTGTCTTTAGGTCTTCTACCTATTGCCTTAAGTTGTTATGGAATTATGGCTATTTATGATTTCTTTATATAAACTTCTCTTGAAAAGCTTATAAGAGAAAAAATATGAAATCAAAATGAAAACATCTTTAATAAGATAAAATTACTTTATACATAAGTTGTTTTGTAGAAATTCTCTTATATTAGCTTCTCCAAAACTTTTTTTAACTTGTATATAGGTTAATTTTTTTTTTCTTCCTATTTCTTCTCTAATAAGTGTGTCCAGAGAAGTTTGTCTAAACAAACTCTTTCTCTTTCTGATGCTAGAAGCTTACATTTGATATTTCATAAACATCATGTAAATTTCTTCCACTTTAAACTATGTATAAATTGGACTCCCCTAATATATGGATGACCGATGCACTTGACAATCTTGCATGTAAAGCTTTAGTTGGATACTTCTAAGATTAACAAAAAGGGAATTATTTAGATGTTAAAAATGTGTATAACACTTTATCCTCTATCTAATATAACTATAACTAGTTACACATTTTGTCATTTGTAATCTTTGGTTCCAATTATGCAGGCAGGAAAAGGTAGAACTGGATTAATGGTATGTGCCTACCTAACTTATTGCGGCATGTCAGCAGAAGAGGCTCTTCAATTGTATGCAGATAGACGAACAACCAATAATGAAGGAGTAAGTTATATTAGGTATAATTCCAACAATTTGAAATATAAATCTATCTTCATTAACACCATTATCATTTTCTAAAACAATGACAATCAAATGAATGCTAAACTAATAAGAAATGTACTCTTCTTTTACCTCCAAAGAAATTAACTAAAGAATTTATGTGGGATCAGGTATCAATACCAAGCCAACGTCGTTATGTGACATACTGGGAAAGTCTACTTTCTAATTCTGTCCCTAGGGGAACTGGAAATGGACCACGAGATGTGAACTTGCCTCAACCATGTAGCAGAGAATTGCGGCGAATCCGGCTATATGATACAGTCAACATAGACTCAATATTCTTTGTTATCTCAGAGCTACACGAGGTTAGTTCATCACAATTTATGATATAACAGTGGTTGGAATGCTGAATTATCTTTCTGGAATGGTTTATGGAGGCCACATTATATTTTTTTTTTCTGTTAGCATGATAATTTGCACTAGCTGAGAGAATAGTATAACAAAATTTGGATAATTTATATGTTAATGTTAGGAATCTTATAAGTTTGTACTACTCGTACAACACTAGTACTTGAGCTAATTATTACTATGAACGCTTGAGAGCATAATTAAGCAATGAATTAGATATGAGACTTTGTTTTTATACTTATCAAGATGGGTTTCTATTTATTGACAGATTCCTAATGAGGTGTATCGTCCACCAGTGGAAGCTTACCGTGGCTACTGTAGACAGGTTAAGAAAGGATATCAGAGAAACAACAGCCCTCGCTATTATATTTCAATTCTTGAAGGTGATAACGATGGAATGCAATCAGAAACGGAAGAACCTCGCATTGTCGTTCAGATGGACACAGAGTCTCCTGCAATATACCAAAAATCATGTTTGGACCATTATTTTGATAAACCTATACAAGTAAGTAATCAATCACCATTAAGTGCCCATGAAACTAGTCTTTCTTTAATAATCAATCTAATCAGTTTATTTTTTTTTTTCAGAACCCCTTCTATTGGTTTTACACATTTATGTTTTTTGATTTTGTAAAACTGCAAAAGAAGTATTGCTAATGGAGTTTTTTTTAATCCAATATCCATTTTCAGTTCTGTCTGCAAATAACCTTAAATCATTGGACAGGTAACTGGAGATGTACGTGTCATATTCTACGAGAAAATGATAGGAGGTCGCCTTTTCTACTGCTGTTTCAATACAGCTTTTATTAGGAACAGCTTACTACAGGTAATCTCATATTCTTTATTCAAGGTATTATTAATTTTGTTTGGACGGAACTTCAAATTTGAGGAAAACCAAAAGGGCAACAATATATCCTTTGTCATAGAAAATCTCTTTAAGGTAAGGCTTATATAACATAAATTTTACATCATACTTTTTGGCTAGGTAGTCTATTATTGAAAATAGTTTGGATTTTGAAGCATTATACTATGAGAGACACATAAATATAAGTGAGTAGACAACCAAGTAAGTTATCAGGATTTTAAGCTACAAGATATTATTTTTAGTTCTTTATCTATTAAAATGTTCATTTTAGTCCTTTATTTTTTATATTTGGATTAATTTGGTCCTTTTAAAACAATAATAATTTTTTAACTTTGTGACACAATTTTGAAGTAATATTCAATTGATTTATGACATGAAACTTGTATAATTAGATTCAACTATATAAAAATTATGAAATTAAATTGACGTTCAAATCCTAAAGGCTATAAACATATTAAAAATTGTGTGAAAAATATATTTCATAAAAAATTAGAAAATAGTATAAAATTATTATTTATTTTTTTAAATTTCAATTTCTTTTTGAACTTATTTTTATGTAATTTTCACCATGTTTATAATACTTTTTAATTTAAACTTCAATTACGTTTAATAATTTTCATATAAGTAAATTTAATGAAATTAAGTTTCAAGTCTATCAGTAAAAAAATATCCAAAATTATGCTTTAAAATTAAAAATAATCATTGTTTCAAAATGACCAAATTAGACCAAATTTAAGTGATAAAGGAAAAAAATAAATATTTTGAAAGATAAAGGAGCACAATAAATTTAATAAATAAGATAAAAGATTAAAAGTATAATTTAACCTATTTTAAAAGTATAGGGATAGAATATGAAATAATGAACTGCATATGATATGGCATGTCATTTGGGTCAATAGAATTTCTAGATTGAATAGGTGTTCTTTGGGACCACCAAAGAGTAAAATAAAAACGATAGAAAGGCCTTCATGAAATAAGTCCAATTTTGGCTGAAGCAAATTTGTAATAGGATTGAAGGAAACTATTTCAGTTCAGAAGTGATAAACCTTTTTTTTTTCTTTACTTTCTATTTGTTTGACATATGCAATCAAATAGATTGAGAACAGAATGCACAGCGTGTTTGACTGTGTTCCCTTTTGTAACTGTTATTTTGTAGCTCACAATACAAGAGTTGGACAAAGTTGGTAACAAGGGAAAATCAATATGTGGCCCTGACTTCTGCCTAGAGTTGTTGTTTGGTCCTGCTAATGCAGGATATTCATCGTCAAGTATATCCAATGATGAACATTCTAGTGATGATTCCTTATAAAAAAAATTTCTCGTATCTTTGCATAATATGAAAGGCAACGTCCAATTTACTGCTGTAACATATTCCTGCAAAATGAACCCAACAATGAGTCCCTTGGTGTATGTAGTGAGTGCACTCATTCCTCCACTGTCTTGACGTCTAATTTTTCCATAGGCGAAAGGCATGAGGAGTAGGTGCAAATTTTGTATTATGTTAGTGATTGAGTAGCATTTTGCAGAAGATGAGGTTGAGAGCATTATAATACGAAAGTTTACCAATTCTCTTGCTGGATATAATTTTCAATGCTTTAACAATTTGAAGAATCATCCATCCGTGTAAGAGTACATTATTGAGTTTGACTTATGACAACAGACTAAAAGTTAGCATCCTTTTAATGATTAAGCAACATTTTAATGATGGTGTAAAGCTTTTTACTGTGGGTGGATCAGAAGTTAGCAAACCCTTATCAATATAGTTTTCGATCATTTGAAAAAAGAAAAAGAAAAAAAAAGCCTCTGCAATTCTATTAAAGTTTAGACACGTCCTCAAACAATTTTTCATTTTAGATGATTCTCTAGTACATTTTTTTCTTCCTCGTGTAGTGATTCCCTTATAGTAGAACGAATATGGAATTAGTAATGAATTAACATATCCAGTGAAATCGCCATAATGTTCACCTAATAAGAGAAAATGCGTATCAAGAGTGTATTGCTAACAATTCTAGTGTATGCATTGTTGCCGACATGCCTACCAGTTGTGTTTCTTTAGTAAATCAAAGTTTAAGAAGCTATCCCATTTCAAGGCCAAGGTACATTTAAAAAATCTTTTCAATGATCCCTTCAAATTGGTTATAAACCTGTCAAATGGGATAGACACACTAATGCGGAGAACGCATACATTTTACAGGTAAAAAATTTCTCTCCTACTTTCTCATCCAAATAAATAGTTAGACACAGTAATGCCCAAAAACTCCACATAAAGAAAAATACAATTGCGCTTTTGATGGCTTCATCCCCCATCAGTCAATTGGGCTAGTTCACACACCGTTGAGGAAATATTGGGTAGTCTAAACAGAAGGTAAGGTTCCGATTGTGAAGGACAATCTAGTCTTGGACCTCATGCTGCTGATGCTAGTTTGTAGGAATCAATCATTCAGAGACAATCTTGTTTGTCTCCTTGTCCAGGACAAGCAAGCCGCCAAGCATTCAATCAGTAGAAGTTTGAGTTCCTCTTATTGCGTTTAGGTTAATATTTCTGCTTTACGCTTTGCATAATCTTCAACTATACTAATCATACTACTGTTATGGCGTAGCGAAAACTCTGCAAGTAGAATCTGGCATTCTTCTACAGTGAGATCACCATGACGGCCCTGCAAATGTTATGGAAAATTCAGTATGTTAAATGCCAAACGATAAAGTCAGTCAGTCACAAGCGAACTAAATAATCAGACTTGAGTTTGATGTCATATAAACTTGTTTGAACAATGGTTCTTGTTTAGTTCTTTACTTGCAACTTTACAAGCAATAAATAAAAAAAGGGGAAGAAAAGACTACTACGAATAAGTACTTTTATAGATGCCTGTGTAGATTATAAGATTTTTATTAAAGAAATGCACAATTGTAGCAGTATAGCAATTGGATTTTTATTATTAAAATTAAAAACTAAAACTGTTTTCATATAGGAGCAAGAGTTTTATAACTTGTTTCATTAGATTTCTGTTTTTTTGTTCTCTCATGGGAACTCTTTATTTTAAATTTTCTTACTCATTCTCCCAATAGCGCAAATTATTTTGTATAGACAACGATTCACAATAAAATTGATACAAAAGGCAAGTAGCACAATTGCCAGCCCAGATAGCCATGTCAATGTCAGGTGCAGGTTTAACTCCAAAACAGTTGCCCATTTGTTTTTATACCACCCATGTAACTACTTTCCTTTAGCATAACTTCCAAGGTATTTAAGAAACCTAATCGTATTCTGCACCACATAAAGTACACAACTAAAATCATTACCATGCGAGATATTCTATCACAAACAGCATGGTGCATGAGGATTCCTGCAGCTACTGATACATTGAAAGAGTCCACCATTCCTGCCATTGGAATACTGCAGTGCAAATCTGATAACTCCAAAGCCTCGTCACTAATACCCCTGCAACAAAAACATAGCCACTGTTGAATAAAGTAAAACCCAACTATTTAACATCTTGATCTTAGTTCCATGTCAAGAGGGGTTGGTGATCCCTGAGTACTTTTTTTTTTAATCGACAAATGTTAATTGTTAGTTATTATGTTAGTGGGGGGATTCAAACTCACATCCTCTTATCATTCCAACCCTATGTCCCTCCCTCCAAACCACTCAGACCACCTTATCACTCCTGTGATCCTTGAGTACTAATAGTCAGACTCACTAAACAAGAACATATGACAGTTACATTGAGCTCAGATTTGCATCTTCAAAAGTTTTACATGGAATTTTCTATATCCAATGGTATATAATAAAGCATAGAGCATGAAGAAAATGAAGGAAATAACCTATTTTCATTCCCGACAACAATTGCAGTTGGGCAGGACCAGTCTAAGTCATGAATAGAAACCTATACACAACAAGAAAAAGTTAATTCTCCGCATATCGTTTCAACATTTTGACTCAGGGTTTATAATAATTAAACACAAACCAAAAAATATTCATCAACAAATGAACAAAAGAATACACGGCACCAATATATTATGACTACTGTTTGCACACAATATCCCTGGATATAACCATGTTATAGAGATTTGACAAAGTTTTAAGTTGGCGATCAACTGCCTAACACAACCCTCACTTTTTATCCAGATTTACAATTGCAACAAAAGCACAACAAACTTGATTAAAAGTAGCAGAAACAAACCATACCGCATCCATTCCCACATGAGTTGTGGCAATTCGATAACCACGTGATTTCAACATTTTAAAGCACTCCTTTGTAGAGTCCCACAGTTCAATGTCCAACCATTTCTCCGCACCCATGCTCACATGGCGATTATCTTTATACCTGCAACAAGGAAGCCAGGTAAAACCCTTCAATTAAAAAGCAGTCTCTTGATTTCATTCGCAGTTGATTATGTTATGGCCTTAACAATAATCACAACCAAATGCCCCTTTATAATGACTAGAAACAATAACAGCAATTTCAACAACATCCAAATAACACAATTCATAACTCATAATAATAATGCCACAAAATATTTAGGCAACTCAAATCAAGCATCATGTTTGAATAAACTTCTCCATAACACTTATAAGACAACAAAATAAGGAAAAATAAAATTGCCTACACATATGTTCAAAAACACAATTAGAATAAGCTAACAGGCCAGTTTGTTTAAAAAAAAACGATTTGAAAAAAGTGTTTTTTTTAAGAAGCAAATAGAACTTACAACTTAAAATTAGAAAACGGTTTATTTTATTAAAAAATGTTTTTTAAGAAACCAACATACCAAATATGAGAGTTTCTAGCTAATTTAAGCTTTCAATGAAACTTATTTCAATTTTTCTTCTTAGGCTCTGTTTAGATAAACTTTTCCATAAGCTAAAATTAACTTGCATATAAGTTAAAAATAAAATTTTGAAAAAATTAATTAGAATTTCTACAAAATAAAGTTATGGAGAAACTTATTTTAGCATATGAAGAAACTAATTTCATTTTTAATTCCTATTTTTTCTCTGTTAGAAGTGCGAAGCGCTTCAAAAGAAGTTTATGAAAATAAGTCCTTATTTTCTTCTCCTATAAGTAGTTAGGGAGAACCGAGAAGTTAATCCAATCATGCCTGTAATGCCTAATAAACTCAGATTCATAATTACCGATTTAAATCGAGACTACTATGGAATTAAATTCTATGAACTAACTACGATTAAAGCATGTATGATGTATGTTATAGTGAATCCGAACTGAAAAAGTAAAAGCTATCTATCTGAGAGTGAGCGTGAAACTCAGAACGAGAAGCGAGTGCTCCTAAACTTTCACCTCAACAATGTAAACACCTTTTGTTGTCATCACACGACACGACGTGGACGGACTGGACGCCGAGCGCGTCGGCGGAGCGGAAGGCGGCGGAGACGTTGCCGAAGTCGCAGAGGCCTTCGACGACGAGGCAGAGCGAGTAGCTCCGGTTCCTGACGACGCTCCCGAACCTCCGCCTCCGTTCCTGGGAGATGCAGGGCGCGAGGGCGTGGACGACCTCAGCACTGGTCAAAACGGCGCCGTTGCGGCAGCGAAAGGCGTCGAGGTAGGGGAACCAGCGAGGCGCGTGGGCGTGGAGGAGAGGCTTGCGGTCCATCTTCATGAGCGTGGAGACTCCGTCGGGGGTTGAGAGGAGGTGCTGGACGGTGGGAGATTGGGGCTCGGGTTCCTCGGCGGCTAGGGCTGACGTGGAGCATCTTGGAGTTCGAATGAGTGTGCGCTTGAAAAACGAAGTCGAAGAGAGTGGGAAACACGAAAGGGTTTTGCAAGCACTCATTTGCAGTTGCCTACTTCAGCTACACACTGTCACTCACCACCACTCATAAGTCATACCCTCAATCCATTTGCAGTTGCCTTTCATGACTTTAACAAAACTTTGTTAATTATCGATTATTCAAGACCACATCAAATTTTTTTTTTTAATTATGTCTTTATATTTTACATAAAAATCATTTTAATTAATTTATATATTGACAATTTAATATATATTTATTACAAAGTAAAAATCAAAGGGACAAAATAAAAAAGACCAAAATCATTTTATGAAGAATTAAAAAAAAAATTATCACATTCTTATATTTGTGTATAACAATTTTAATTATCTATTAAAAATGAAGGAAAGTAATATAATTTTTAGTCAAATATAACAAAATTGTTATTAGAAAGAATCTGGCCACAATTTTGGTGATTCAAAACCACTTACATGATGACTTAGAAGAAAGAAAAATAAAATAGTTTTTTTATAAGTTATAATTAATTTATATATAAATTAAAAATAAAATTGAAAAAATTCATTTAAGAGAACTTTAACAAATTATTCTTTAAGTAAGCTAATTTTTCTTTACGAAAAATTGAATTTTATTCTTTTTCTTATCTTAGTTGATCACATTATGTTAACAAAAGCCTGACTCTCTGAATGGTTCATAGATATACGTAGATTATGCAAATTAGTATGGATAAAATTTTGATGTACTACAATATCATATTTTTTTAATATAATTTTCTAATTAAAATTAATATTGCGACGGTTATCAATACTTCAATTAATTTTAATATTTATCGGTTATTAGTTTTACAATATTTAGAGTTTATTTTTTAAAAACCAAATACAGAGTTTATTACTAAAATATCCAAATAAACTATCAAAATATTATGAAAGTATTGATTAAAAAAATATCAGGACCATTGTAATTATTTTATATTTTTCATAAATCCTAGCAGAGCTCCCCATCCCTATAGAGATTATAACATGATGATTCACCGAACACTAATCACCGTGCCACACGTTAATTTCCAATCCTCATTAAATCCACAAAATGAAATATATTAATTTTTATATCAAAATGTTGCTATCCGTGATACCATGAAGTCGATCATCGGCGTGTATTTAATGAATTAGTATCTTATCTTATTCAATTAAAAACAGTTCAGAAATATTAGAGTTGTGAAGAGTTGAATGTAGAAACCATACGTTACCCCAAAAGAGACAATGACGAAGTTAATTAATAAAAACCCAATAACGAGGAAGAAGGAAGAATTTTGTTAATAATGCTGGTTAAATTTGCCTATAAAAACATCACACAAAGGAAGCAAACATGTATATCATTGAAAGATAAAAGATCAGAAAACTATATATTATATAATATGGGATCGTATTCCTTAAAGAAAGAGAACCATGTGGTGGAAACTCCAACCCCACAAAGAGACCATGACGCTGATACTACCCTGTATGCCATGGTGCTAGGTTCCAACGTGGTCTTTCCTGCAGCTCTCAACGCTGCAATTGAGCTCAACGTGTTTGAGATCATTGCAAAGGAAAGCTCACAAGAGAGTGGTGGATTCATGTCACCCCTTGAAATTGCTTCCAAGTTACCAACACAAAAACAACATTGTCATGAGTTGCCAAATAGGCTTGAACGTTTGCTGCGTTTGCTTGCTAGCTACTCTCTTCTTTCTGTTTCCACTCGCACCAATGAGGATGGTAGCACAGATAGAGTTTATGGGGTCTCACCAGTGGGTAAATATTTTGTCTATGATGAAAATGGTGATGGTTATCTCGCGTCATTCACATCATTTCTGTGTCACCCTGCATTGTCAGGGGTGTGGTAAGTGTTCTTAATTATTATGCTTAATATGGAAATGGATCATCATTCACATTTGGCCTAGCTATTATCGCCACAATAATTAAGGGTCAGTTCAAATAAACTTTTTTACAAGTCTTTGTAGAAGAGAAAAATTAAAATTAGTTTATGAATAAACTAATTTGTATAAACTCTTTTATTATTTTTTTAAAACATTATTTTTAACTCATGTAATGAGTTAATTTTAGTTTATAGAAAAAATTATTTTAATTTTCTCATCTACAAGTTTTATTAAAAAAATTTATCCAAACATACATAACTTAATAAGTATTGTCGGGAGTAACCAAAACTTTTGTAACATAGGCTGAATTTTAAGGAAGCGATCATTGATCCTGAGATTGACCTGTTCAAGAAGGTTCATGGAATGTCCAAGTTCGAATACTTTGGGAAAGATCCAGAAACAAACCACGTATTCAACAAAGCAATGGATGATATATGCACAACCCATATGAAAAGAATACTTGAAGTATACACAGATATGAGGGCATATCAACTTTGGTTGATGTGGCAGGTGGAATTGGACAATGTCTCAAATTGATCATCTCCAAATACCCTTCAATTAAGGGCATTAATTTTGACCTCCCACATGTGATTGAAAACGCACCACCCATTCCAGGTAGGTAATCAACCACAATTACATGCTTTGGGATTAATAATTCAATCACACTTCATCAATGAAAAATTATCAAGTTTCATATAGGGGTTGAGCATATCGGGGGAAATATGTTTGAAGGTGTTCCACAGGGTGATGCCATGATGCTAAAGGTTAGTACTTAGTATAGAAAACATATATATTACCTAAGCTTCAATTATTCTTTGTTGATAACTTGGTTAAATCTAACTATAAAGTGCTGACCAATTTGTTTTGTTCTAGGCTATATGCCACAATTGGTCGGATGAAAAAGCCATAGAAATTTTAAGCAATTGTTACAAAGCTTTGCCAGCAAAGGGGAAGGTCATTGTTGGGGATTTCATACTGCCAGAAGATCCAGAACCTACAAATGATTATAAAGTGGTTTCAATTCTTGATAACATCATGTTTATTACACCAGGTGGAAGGGAAAGAACTGAGAAACAATTTGAGAGTTTGGGCAACCGTTCTGGATTTTCTAGGTTTCAAGTTGTCTGTCGAGCCTTCTCTACTATGGCAGTGATGGAATTTTATAAGTAAATCATATCAGCAATAATTTGGCATTTCAACAAGAGCACATCAATTTTTCAAATAAGTAAATCATATCCGTAATAATTACATTTTATGTTGTTTAATGTAATTGTGCTGAAATGAAAGTTATACCGGATATGAGTATAGATACGGATATATAATACGTGGCTATGTTGTATTGGATATGGAGATAAATATATGTATATGATATGTAAGTTTTCAAAAATTTAGAATATGAGTACATTAACGTAATTTAAAACATTATATTTTTAATTACATAAACCTAAATAAATTATATAAATGATAAAAAAAATATCACAAACAAATAGAATGTTTCTCATTTGAACTATAATTCAATAAAAATTTTAACATTTAAAATTATATGATTATAATATCACTTTTTAATTATGATATCATACTTTAATTGTGATATATATACACTTCAATAGTTTTAATCTTATAATTCCTTGTTTATCATCCGTAAAAATAATTATTTTTAACTCTGATTTATCAAGAGAAAAAGTAACAATTTTAAGAATGTATACAGGATCTTATTAATATCCCATATTTTACTTTCACCCTCTATATAACTTTTTCTCTTTCTTGAAAGGGGACGAAAATTTATATGTATAAAAATTAAATATTTACTCTTTAAGAATTGATCTATTTCTTTTCATATAATGGATAAAAGAATATGTGTTTCAAATTCTCTCACAACAAGAAGATGATGACGCTTGTAAGAGAAATTTCAATGCAATACATTAAAAATTGGAGATTGTTAAATCATACTAAAATATAAAAATTGTATTGTAAAAACATCAATAATGAGTTCAATAGATTAATGTGAAAATATTAACAAATAGTTAAATAGATTAATTTAAATATTAAAGACTAATTAAAAACTCTTATGATGAATGATTAGGGAGATTAAGTCTTAAAATTATATACATTGAAATTTAATTTAATTATTAGATTCATTAAAATTTAATATACCTCATAAATTATTGAGTAAAATAATTTTTTTGATTTATCTAAATGTTTTTCTCAAATCAAAATTTGACAGATGATTGATATTTTATCTCAATAAATAATAATTAGAACATAGATTTCACTCATTAATTTAGTGTGTTCGTGTAAGGAATTGCTTACCTCTACATCGATTCTCGGACTAAAGAGAGAGAAACATAGAGTGGCGTAAAGCTATAACTCCAATTTACAATTTTGAATATTAAAATACCTAACAAATTATGAGAAATCTGTAAAATAGATGCTTAATTAGAAGTCAATTATGGGGTAATTACAATTTTGAATATTAAAACAATGTTAAATTCATTTTTAAAAAAATAAAGTTAAATTATTTCATTAAATGTCATTTTTTTATAATAAAAAAATATTATTAGTTTGAAAGTAAGTTAGATATACACCGATATCAAAAATAAAATTTGTATAAAATGCGCAAATCAAATCTAAATTATATAAAAGGAATAATCATTATTTGCATGATCCAATAATCATGATAAAAAATATTTCTACACACATTATCTCCTGTAAGCATCTTTTGGATATTTCATAACATTTCACTTAATACAACCAAACCGTTAAGTGTGTTTGGATGATGAATTTATATAGGATAATTCATTTATTTAAAGAATTTCAAATTCTTTGAGGTAAAATATTTTGTTTGAATGAAAAATTTACAAAGAATTTGAAATCCAAGCATTTGAGACAATCTATCTATGATTGCAACTAATTAATAGAGTCTGATTGGTTAGAAATTAGGATATTGGATAACCATAACTAACATGAACAACCGTTAATTCTTCAATTAAAAGAATGTTTAAATGGATGAAGCGAAATCTTAGTATAACTGTATCATCATTATAAAATATAGTCAGACAAAACAAACACTTATAGTCTCTCTACCCAGAGTCCCCACCCAGTTGTAATAATACAATTTTAAAAAGAGTATATTTCTATGAAACTAAAAGTCTGCAATTAAGAAGAAATATTGATTTTTGAGATAATATCAAAGGATATTCCATTTTGTTGAAGTCTTTCCTGGAGATCGGTTGGACCAAAGATGATCCCAGGAGGGTAAACTCCTCCTTTAGGAAGGTTGTTGCGTTGGCTGAGAACAACAAGAGCACATTGAATAAGAATTATTGGTGTGGTCTGATATCCATTTTCAGGTCCCATCACCCTTGTTATAATTTCCATGTCAGGTTTTGTGTTACCCTTTGGAGCAGTAGTCCCATTATTAAAACCACGTCCAACAAACCACATCTTAAAGGAAGCACTTTCAACCTCCTCTTCGGTAGGACCCTTCTTCTTGAACCAACCAAGGCTAAATATTGAAGGAAATTTCAGAAGAAGCCACCTTCCAAAACCAATTCCTCCTAAAAGACCAACGAAAACTCCAACAATTGAGATTCGAAGAATGCCCAATAATGACTTTGAGCCTATTTTCACACCAAAATGAGTCGGCTTCACAGAGGACCAGAAGGCTTCCCTTTTCGCAACCGTCTTGGCACTTTCGTTGAGCCCAGGGAGGCCATGGGGGTTTTCTGTTAGAATTGCCAGTGTTCTTCGAACTACAACTGAATCTGCCGAAGGTAGCTTCACTGCCCAGAGGCCAAGTTTCTTCTGGCTCTCTATAGTTTCTCCTTTTGAAAGAGGAGGTCCAGGAATCTACAACCATGGAAATATAAGTTGATAAATGACCCAACGTTAAAAATATGAAAAAAGCTAAGGGAAAGAAACTAAAAGGGTTTAAGTAATAACTCAAATTTCACAAGCAATCACTAATCTATCTTCATAATATATATATATATATATATATATATGAAGGGGTTATAATTACACTGGTATAATTTTTACCAAGTATTACACCGCTCAATAATTTTATATTAAATGTGAATTTTGTAAATCTAACTGTTAGATTGAAAGTTCATATCACTTTATACGTATATATCAAATTTTGTTAAAATTGAACAACAACTTGGAAGTAATCAAAGTGTTCATATTTTAGTGTATTTTGAAATAAAATTTTGTTAAAATTGAACAACAACTTGAAAGTAATCAAAGTAGTCATATTTTAGTATATTTTGAAATGAATATATTACGTCAATTTTGTTTTATAAAAAAGAAGTATCAAATTATCTTGAATTAATATAAAATTTTGTATATATGATCTAAGAGATATGAACTTTCAATCTAATGGTTGAATTTACAAAATTCACATTTAATATAAAGTTATTGAACGGTGTAATACTTATTAAAAGTTACACCAATGTAATTATAACTCTATATATATATATATATA